AAAACAAAGACAAAACATATTAGTTAAAATAAAAATAAAAATAAAATAAAATTTTACTAAAATTTGAGTTATGACACCAAGCATCAAAAAATCTGAACGGTTTTGGACCCCAATCAACCTGCTCATTTTTTAGCACTATAGGGCAGTGATCCAATATAGACCTCTTCAATCCCCACTATTTCATTTCACTCCACTTTGACATCCATTCTTCAGAAAACAAAAATCTATCAATCTTGCTCATTTGTTGCCCATTTGAATAATACCAAGTGTATTTTCTCCCTATCAACGGCAAGTCAAACAAATCAGTGTTATGGATGAAAGCATCAAATTCCCTCATTTCATTGGACACCACCTTACATCCTGCTCTTTCCTTGGCCTTCCTTGCAGCATTAAAATCCCCTGCTAAGTACCACATCCCCCTTCTATTATTAATTAGACCTTGCAGCTCCTCCCATAAGGCTCTTTTGCTTGTAAGTTGACATGGAGAATAAATGTTTATTATGTATACCGGTATCTCCTTTAATCCCCATAGTCCAAACACCCTTATAAAATCATCACCCTCTATAGTCTCCTTCTTCTTCAATATTTTAGTATCCAAGACACATATCAAACCTCCAGACATGCCATTAGAAGACTTTGCAACCCAATCCATATCCTTGGACCCCCATAAATTTCTACAAATCTTCCTATCAATTGTATCCATCTTGGTTTCTTGTATTGCTAAAAATTAAATTTTTTCTTTGATAACTAAATCCCTAATCTGTGCTTTCTTCCCTACCCCTCCAAGACCCCTAATATTAAATGACATAATTATCATTGGGTGCATCACATACCTTCCTACAGTCTTCATCCTCTCAATTCACCATAATCATTTTTACGCTTCGATCTCTAGCCTCCATCTCCTCAATTCGTTGAATCACCTCATTGTCATTCTCCGCCATCGCTCCAAGCTGCGTCACCAAGTCCCATATCTCCTTTGCGAGTTGGGTTTGCCATTGTTTCTTCAATGCCCTGTTACAATTATGTATATCACTGTCCCCTACTAAGTCTCCAGCAACCTTTCCAGCCTAGTTCGGTAAGAAGATTGGTGTTGGTCTCTCCTCCATTTGTTGCGTGTTCTTCTTCTTTCTTCCTCTTTTTCTTTCTGCCGTTGCCTCATTGTTTTTGGGTTGAAGATACACCGAGCTACACCTTTTGACCTTTCTTCTACAATTTTTGGAATTGATCTCCTTCATCTGTTTGCCAATCCATTCTTCTATTCGGCTTCTCTTTGATTCATGACCCTTCCAGAATACATTTTCTTCTTCATCATCCCTCTCTTCCGTAGATTCTCCAATTCTAGAAGTGTCCCTATTTTGGGTTGTAATTGGGATCTCCTTTATTGTTTTTATTTGGGCCACTTCCACATTTGCGGACTCCATTGCTATGAGCTTTCCTTCTGCGAGGTGGGCCTTACTATCGGCTGATTACTGGGCTTCAATTTGTGATTAATTTCTTCTGCTTCTGTTTCTCCAATTTTCGAAGATGAGCCCTGCATCATCTATCCTGTAGCCACACCATCTGTCCTCATGCTTCTTTCATTTGCATTTGAAATTTGAATTTTTTCTTGGTTGTCACCAATGGTTTCTGCTGAATCCCTTTCTTCCTTGCTGGTTTGTACTAAATTTCTTCTTTCTTCCTTTTTCCTACGTCTTATTGCGTCATCATCTTCTTCAATTGAACACTCGAATTGAACCTCCTCGTTCCTCCTTTCATCTTCTTCATCCTGCATCTTCGACTCTGTTCCAGTAGACCATGTTTCATGATCTTCAAACTTGCTATTAAAGGAAGGCATAAAATCTTATTTCAAAAAAAAGAAACAATTGGTGAATTCCTCATCTGTAAATTTCAACTTGTATATGCTTCCATTGATTTTGATTTCCCTTGTAACTGTAATTGTCTCCATTATTGGAGTAGAAATAAAAAATCTAGCGATGTCAAACCTTTTCTTCTTGCTTGTACTGTCATCCAAGCAAATAAATTTTCCCCATGAACGGCCCATGGTTGAAAAGAAATCACTTCCCCAGACATTCACTGGTGCCCCTTAACACCTTATCCACACAAATCTCTCTTTTGTTGTCACCTATGGTGTCCACAGGCTCACCTCTTCAAACCATTGCCTTAGCCAATCTGATGCCATTTCAACCAACTCCTTCACTTCCTCCTTGTCTTGACCTGTTAACAGAACCATTTTGCCTCCCATTGCTCGAATTTGACAAGAAAAGTGCCCCTCCATATAGAATTTTTCTTGTAAATTGCGTACCATCTCCATGGAATGCACTATTTCGACATAGCTGCCTTCGAGCCAAGCATACTCTTCAGGTTTGATGTTGAACTCCATACCTGCCCAGTTTTCTCCCTTTCCTTTTTCTTTCCACATTTTCCTATTTTTCGTTTGCCGGTGCTCGTGTCTACTTCTATCTCTGTATCTCCCTTGCTTGTCTTGCCCCGCATGCTTCTTAATTTCTTTGTCATTTCTTCTATTTCTATTTTGGACAACCATGCTCTGTATGCTCTGATCCCCTGCCATATCCTTCTCTTGTGTTCCTTTCACCACCTTAGCATAACTTCTATTCTGGGCTACAATCATCATTCCGCTACTTTTTCTTTTCACCCCAACTTCTTTCTTCTCAGAATCATACCTTGGCATATTCACTCACAATTTTTGATCTCCTACCCAAATCTGATCCATCTTTCTTTCTAGTTCCTTCTTGTCTGTCACCCCCAAAAATCTCACAAAGCCGAATCTACTCCCATTCCTACTTCTTCTATTTGGAGAATAGATGTCATAAACTTGGTCGAATTTCAAAAACGTGCTCCGCATTTCTTCGTAGCTCCAATCATCTGGAACATTGGTAAAGAAGAATGGTGTTGCTTGTTTGTATAGGCCCCAGTTATAAAGCCCACCTCTTTTCATTTTTCGACCCTGATATTGATCATCCTTTGTTTTCCCCAAATCAACTGGTTCCCTGTTCCATTGGTAGCTTCTTCGACGAGATCCACCATGCTCCCAGTTCAGTGCCGTTTGTCTAGCCCGTGACTGATGTCCACCTCAATCCCTTCTCACTCTCTCTCTACCTCTTTCTCTCATCTCTTGGCGTCCTCTTAGCTTGTTTGATCCTCAAAGATTCTAACACCTTATAATTTTCGAAATGAGTTATAGACGGTTAGGGTCCTTGTACTTTGATTTCTTGATTTTAGGTTCTTCTAAATGCATTCAATTTAAGTATTTAATTGTTGAGAGGAGTCCTTCTAGGCTTCTACTTCAAAAAGGCCATGATGTTGAGGTGCTTGCTTTGCTCAAACGTAGTTATTGCCACCAAGTGACTAACGGTGGCAATTCTAGAGTTACAAACATGGTTAGATTTGAGTCCATTTTTCTTAATAAATTGAGTCTCAACTATTTGTCAAGAACTTTAAATATGAAAACTTATTTAGTTACAATGAATCTTGAATATGTAATTGTAGAAAGGAATAACTATTTCCTAAAGAAATAAAGTATTTTTGAAGAAAAAGGTACCATTGAAGGATTACAATATAATGATATTTCTTCATTATGATGTCTATAAAGGGCTAAACAATGAACTTTTTTTTTGGGTTAAAAATATAGTTGTATTAATATCAATTACAATGTGAGCTATTCACTGCTATACAGGCTTTGCAAGAAAATAAAAATGCTAGGAAGGACCTATGACACTAATATATGGAGCTAAGTTTTCCTTACAAATAGGACAAATAGGAATTGAGAACCTTTAAATACTAGTTTACATAAGAGATATCAATAAAACTATGTAATAACATAGAAATATTAAACTGGAGGTCACTGTTGCTGCTGGCAATCTCATATATTTTACCATCCAATCCTAACACTAGAGAATTAGAGGACTTGATGATGTAGTGTCTCCTAGCACCACAATGGTCTTTCCAAACTTAGGTGGTCTTCTAACTATAGACAAATGGAAGGCTCCACTTGCATGGTAAGTGCAATGCTTGAATGATCAAGTTTTACTTTGGATGCTTTGCCATCACCGAGCACTTCAGGCATCAACTTCTGCTTTCCTTTCTTCTCCATCTTCTTGGTGATTAAATGAGATTCCTTCCAAGCCTTTTCTATGTCTTTGCAAGAGCACACTCCTTTCACTTTGCCAAATGGGCTATAAGATGAAGGGGACATCTTCCAAAATGGAGGCCGTCTCCTATTGTTGCGAGGAATCACAAAAACTTCTACCCTTGTCTCGCTTCTGGTTGTCAATGCCCCAAACTAGGAGCAAAATAGATGTTGCACACCTATAAGAGGGTCTCGCAAATGCATAAAGCTCAGAACCTGTTTAATATATACTATGCAAAAATTCATATCTTCTAATAATTCACTAAAAATCCATTATAAAATAAATATCTTAGATACTCCAAAATTTATAATCAAATATATAACCAAGTCAAATTATGCTTAAAACTCCAATATCATGTAAATCATCTAAATAATAATATCCATGTCTAAATCCAAAACTAGTCTCAATCTAAGAATAAGTGAAGTAGCCAACTAGCACATCACTCATCTTGATTCCTCAATGTCTCTAGTTTCATTAATTGAAATGGTGGATAGGAAAAAATTACGTGAGATAAATCTTACCAAGTAAAATACGGATGCTCTACATATTTAGAATAGCATGCCAAGTTTA